TCAGTCTCCAATCTTCTGAAGCATAACGAACAAGTTCTTACATGGTGAACGAAATCTTACATAGTGAGTAAGTTCTTACATGGTGAACAGTACAAGGGCAGTCATCACAGAAACTTTCGGTTTTGATCATGCATTATGAATTATAAACAATCAGGTCAAATATGAATATTCATTTGATTTTTGTACTTGATTTATATGTGGATCCCACATTTCTCCCTTTATTATTATTTTTATTTTTAATAAAATGCTGAAGTGGTAGGTAGATGCAAGATAAAGGTAGAAAACATAGTTTAGTGTTGTAAGAGACCAATTGTAGATGATCAGGTGTGTGCCTGTAGACTATGTGTTAATCCAAGCTAGACAAGGGAAGAGGCTTATTTTTTACTGAAAAAAGTAATTTTGGTCAAACACATGACCTCACATCAGACATCCTCGGCTTATAAAGAAGCTCCTTTATCCACAGGGGCAGAACTCCTTAAAATTAAAACATAAAAAACACCAATAGATTAGATATTTGATTATATCCAATTCTGAAGGTTAGGTTATCTCCATCAGAAAAGAAAACAGAATGTCTGTACACTTAAATTATTCCCTTTTCCTCTATCGTTGGTCATAAAAAGGTACCATAAAATCTCCAAGTGTTTTAAAATCCTATAGGTTGTTTTCCTAAGGAAGCAGTGCTCCTTAAAAGAGCTCCCTAAAGGACAACTAGTAACTGAATTTTAAGTTAAAAAAAATAATAACCTTTATAACCTAACTCCTAAAAAATAAAGTTTTTAAGTAACAATTTTAAAAAGATCAAAACTTTATTGAATAAACGTTACACAACATTCTTTAACGTAAGTTTCAGCATATTTTAGATGAGAATATGTCATTCAAGTCTACAAAATGAAATAGGCTGGTGAAGATTTGAAATACAAAGCATGAAGCAAAGCTTAAATATTAAGCAACTCAAGCAATGAAGTGAAATTAGCAACATGGTATGCATGTTTTTTAAATACCAAGTTTCACTTTTTAAAAAATGAGTAGTTTATTACAAAACACCTTTGAGAACTTATGAGAAAAATATTTAAATACCTAAAATCTGATATCTCCCAGTTCTTTTGCCTTTTTATTACTTCTTGATCATTTCCATCACTATGCAAAGACTTCTGAAGCTTAATTAAAAATCTTGATTACACAGTCCACAGTGGCTTGGAGGTCCCTGGTTCTCAAAGTGCACCTGGACAGTACTGCTGCTGGCGGCAGGTGTCTTAAAGACCAGAACCAAGCCCATGCCCTAGGGCCACAGAGCACAGGGCACTGTTCAAGGACACTCACCCTCTAGAAGCCCCCTGCTGCTACAGTTTCTGAGCGGACTTTTTCAGATTTGATCAAATGTGTAATGACTTCATGATAAAGAATTTTCCCAAAAATTTCAGAATGTGATCAAAACTTGTAATGAAAAAACTAGTTAGGATTTGTATTAACAAAGCTCACTAGAAGCAAGACTGCTCACCTTTTTTTGAGTTGTAAAACAAATCCTCATCAGGTATGTTAAATGTTCTAAAACTCACCCAGAACCTTTTGCTAATCCCGAGTGTGGGGTTATTAAGTAATTCCAAACCTACACATTAAGATTACAGAATGTTTGACTTGAGCCAAATGCTCAGTTACCTGTTTTGTTGCTTCAAATGCTTTTGGTATTTTTGTATTTTTTGGCATTTTTTTCCTATTTTGTATGAAGTTATCAATGTGGATTATCTTTCTCACTTAAAAAATAAATCAGTATTGCCACTAAAAAACTTCAGTTTTACTATTAAAAGTATGGCACCATCAAATATAAAATGCCTTAAAAATGTAGTACTAATAGGCTCATTTCATTTTCACAATGTTTTCTCCATTCATTATAAAAGAAAAGTTAAGGGTTTTCACATTTATTTATTTTCCAAAGACAAAAACATTACGGTCTCCAAATTCATGCTCTATGCATGAAGAGTTAGACGCCATCTTTATGGGTCTGTTCCTGTTGCTTGATCCCTGGGGTCAGGTGCCACCTGACCCCTGTGGGATCTGCTTGCACTTAGAAGGAGGGGCACTCCATGGAGAGAGGTCCACATCAAAATTCAGGTACTGTCGCCCTTTCTGAGTTAGATAAAATCAGTAAGGATAGGGAGAATAAAAGCCTTTCCAGCTCAGCAGAATTAGGAACTAGCTCTTAGGATATACATTTTCACTCCAAAATCAACACTAGCCTACCCATTTTGAGTAAGAATTTGAAACAATGTAGTTATGAAAATGTGCACACAATGTTAAATACTGGTGGCAAATAAATACATCTTAGTATATTCTAACAAGCAAATGTATATTCAAGAATACAGCCCTGCTTTATTAAAGAAAAGATCCAAATTTCCTTTGTGGGGTAGGGTGGGGCACTTTGCCCTTACTTCACTAGGAGGTCAGATCATCTTTGCTGCTGCTTCCTGGCATCCTGAAGGAAACTGCCCTCGGCATATGTGACTATTGCTGTTTCATAGAGCCACTTTAGAAATACATTTGCTTATATCCGAACTGATTAACATAGACCTTGGAGAAAGCACAAAGTTTTAGTATGAGAATTAATTCAGCATTTCAGTCATCACCCCATGCCTTTTAGGCCTGACCAAACTACTGGTAAGAACTTCACTTTCAAAATAAGTTACTGTCAATGACTCTTCACACATAAAATCTGAGTTCTTTATGTGTGTGTCATCACTTTTCTCCTCATCTATGCATAATTTATTGCAGTAGTCTCTCATAAAATATCCTCTAATACCTTTTCTTCAGTTTAATATAGCAAAATTTGCAAGTGCCCCTTTATAGATGGTTGCTTTTAACCACTGCCTTAACATTTACTTCTTGGTGCAGCTTTAAAAATCTGAGTCTCCAATTTCATTCAGTCCTGATGCTCTGGTGTTCTCTGTGCCATTGTGGTACAGGTCCATGAAACCAGCAGTCTGTTAATGTCTTTGTGCTGAAATATAGTAAAGAAAAGCAAGAAAATGTAGTTAAGCACAAGTAATCTATGAGACAAATGATGTCCTTGTTGTTTAAGCTCTACTTAGATTATGGGACCACACCTGATTTTCTTCTTTTAAGTCAGTTAAACTTCACCAACGTTTCTTTGAGAAAATGACTTATTGCCCCCCTACACCAGCAGAAGCAGTCCTGTTATTTCTGAAGTATTTATCTGGCTAAATTCCAACACAAATTAAACAGTTGTCATCTTCACACAGGGAATCTGTGCTTGTGTATTTTTTTTTAATGTTTTTGAATATTTGCCTAATAAAGGGGCAATCTTAGTTTTGTTCTTTTTGCTGCCATTTCACAGGTAAAATACTAAACTTTGCCACTCAAAGTTTTGGACTCCTTTTAGACTGCTATGAACCACCAGCAGCCTTCCTGTAACACAGGCTGCCTGCAGGCTTCAAAAGCAAATTTATATCTAAGACCAGGCTATGTAAAAGTCAGCTGCAGGCCATACCATCTACATATATGCAAAGAGTAAAAAAAAAACAGTGGGTGGAGGGTGCCTCTCCAGAGGTAGATACTGGGTATCAGAAGGCATGGAGCACCATTTTGCTACTAGAAGACAACAGGCATACACTGGTCAGATTGACCATACTGTCCCTTGTTACACAGCAAACCAGATTATCAGCAGTCACTCTGCACCATACCTCCGACAAAAAGCAAGACTGAGCAAAACATTTAGAGAAAACAAGGCTTATAAAATTTGCTGCCAAACAGCACAACCAGACTGCCCAACATTACTGACCTCCATTTAGTACCAAAAAGTGGTAAGAACCCCATTAAAATTCTCTACTACCCCTGGTTCTACCTTTCTCAAACCTGCTAGTCTAAGTACCAATAAGAATTTGAATTCCAAAAGAAGGGGATTCATGGAGAGAATGATCTTTTTTTTTTTGGTCAATGTATTTTTAAACCAAAGATGTGTATTAACAGTGGAATAACAGACAAACATAGGCTGCAAAAAGGAAAGAAGAAAACCCACCCCCATCCTTGCCAGTATTCAACTTGCCAGTATTCAACTTCCAAACATTTCCAAGTACATGTCTCCCCCTCTGACAGGACTCGTGAACTTATGTTAACTTCAAAATGTTGCCATGCTTCATTCAGCTACTAGATCAAGGCCTTTTACAGGGCATTCTACCATGTTTCTCAAGCAATGAAAAATGACTTCTAGCCATAAATACTGCACACATCAGAATGGAAGGTGAATGTAGTCCTTGCTTCTAAAGAAACAATGATAAACACTTTTAAAATTGGACATAGAGCTAAGAAAACTTATTTTCTAAAACTAAGATACTAACATAATCCTAATAAATTTAGACTCACAGAACTTAGGAAGTGAATATCCCCATTTAATAAACTGAAAGAGGAAAAAGGTAAGACAGTTTCATGTGCAATTCCATTTCCTTCTATTTATGACTCAATACTTGGCTTCAGCCTTCATAAGGTCTACTCCAGTTGGAAGGACTTTTGAAGCAGATCTTAGTATTCTTATGAGAGGTACATAAAACTAAATGCTGTTCCTCCAAGAGATCACCAGAAGTCCAAAATAACCCAGCCTCAATTTGTGATCCAAAATGTGCCATTCTAATCCATCTTGCAAATTACAGCTCATATGCAACAATTCAGCCTAATTACAGCTCTCCAATAGCTGCAAATACCAGAGGATTAAATAACCTAATTCAAAGCAGCAAAAAAAACCTTAATTCAAAGGCAGCACAACAGAAATCCCTATACCCTTCCTGTTGTATGAGAGCCTTTTAGGCAACTACACTTAAGTGTTCTCCTTTTCCACCCTCTGAGTTTGACCTAGGTAAATAACAATGGTTTTGTGGTTAATTCACTAAGAATATATAGATAGATAGGTATGTTCATAAATGGATATATATATTCTTATATATACATTAATAACTAAACGGTTAAAGTGAATATAAAAGTGACAAAGACTGAGACAGTGAAAAGATAAATCCATCATTTGCCTCTCCATGGACTCAGCTATTTGACATAATGCTGCAATCTGACACCCAACTTAACACCACCCTCAGACAAACTCCTCTCATTTCATAGAAGCTCGTGCAAGATCGTGCAAGATCAGCTCACTTTTTTAGCACAGCAGGTAATATCAATTAAGTTATTTTCACTCATTAAAACTATCACATGAGGTACACCCAGCTACCAAGGTCAATGAAAACTAAGGAAAAAGAACTAATGAATTCCTTTTGTCTAGCCTCATCTACTTTGGGAATGATCAAGTGATGACATGATGCCCTCTTCACTTTGTGGCAGGGCTTAACACAGACAGACCTGCCTGTTTCACTGTTAACTTCAATGCTCCCAGTCTGAATCCACAGTGGTCTGTCAGACACTGTAAGGGAGCAGCAGGACTCGTCACTGTCTGATGTAATAGCTGCCATTTGTTGAGACCTAAGGTAGAAAAAACCAAGTTAACAAAAATAGAGCAGTCATTTGAGTTCTTTTTAATCCATTTACCAAAAAAAATAATTTAAAAATAAGACCAAAATTCAGCTGAATTTTCATAATGAATTTACTCTAGATAACTTGCTGGCTTCATAGAATGCAAAGGCTTTCATACTACAGGAAAAACAGGCTCGAGGTGTACACACCAGCCTTGGCCAGGAGAGGGCACTCTCCGACCCAAGTCATTCAGCGGCAAAACGCCTTTGGGCATTCCAAGATGAGCTCCAATGCCAGCTCACATTTAAGGTTCCTGATTTTTTTTTAAAATGTACTAGCCTAACACTAGCCTAACATTGGAGTAGTCTTGATCTTCTCAGTATTCTACGAGGGCTAAAGTCATCCTATTCACGTAACATCATTAATGAGCTCAGAGACCCTGTTTTGCAGAATGACCAAAAACTGCCTGAATGCCTTTCTCCTTTAATGCCAGCGACCACCTACGCGTGCTACTACTCCAGACCTGAACTGTGTGAGTTAATACCTGCTTGAAATAAATTTGACAAGATAAGCTTTCTCACTCAGGCTTTCAGAACAGAGACTTAAGTTCAAAAGCATAATTTAAATGAAGGGTTGCTATTTTAAGCCTTATTTTTTATTTAATGTATTTACTTGTCTGTTTACTTCTCTGCTTGAAGCATGAATAATTCATCATATCCATGTAGTCAACTCTAGGATTACTGATTTAGATAATATTCAGTCCTTATAACAAAATAATTATTTGTAAGATACTAAATCAGAAGCAGTAACATACAACCAAAACTTCAAAAAGGCTTCTCCGATATTGAAAAAGGAAATTTTACACACCTGACCTATAAACATAATTATGTCCAAATTTTAACTCAGAGAACAATTTTCTTAAATGAGTTTTAAGAAGTTATTTACCTTTTTCATGGGAAAATATACTACTTAAGTACATTTAATATACTGAAGTATACTGTCAACTATAACCCAACAGCAACCACACAAGAAAAAAAGGAAACAATGCGTGAAAGAATTTCCTTTGAACCTCTCCCTCCACAAGTAAAACTGGTTAGGTTTCAACAACTCTTGATTCTAGGCAAGAGAGGCAAGAAGCTGCATTAAAGAATGACCAGCCTTTCTCTGTTCATCTCCCCACCCAGCCCCCGAAAGGCAGGTAAAACGTCAGCATGCCAGTGCCTGGCCCCCAGAACTGCACTCATGAGTCGTCTGTGCTAATGTTTAAGATCAGTCTCTTCTCAGCGCTTTAAGAGACTCAAGGTTTTTCTTGAGAAACTGACCACTCCTACAGGATCCACTACAAGAGCCACGGAGCCCCAGCAGTGATGCAGTTAAACAGGGGGCTACCCCCATAGAAGACAATGATTCTCTGGGAATTACTTATTTTGTTCTTTAAGAGAAAGCTTCCATAGAATGGCAACTACTCCAACGAAGCAGCAGAGATACAAAACGGCAAATCAGAACAGGGGGAGAAGACACTCAATCTCCCTTTCAGAGTGCATGAAAAAGGAAGTAGAAGGGGTCATGCTCTTCGAGCAAACCCCAGAGTTAAAGAGCTATGATGATACACATGTACCTATTGTCCTGCTGAGCCCTCAATACAAATGTTCTCTTAGAGCAATGTAGTATGGTGCAACATGAACGGACAAGGCAAGCCTAAGTAGCACCTCATTTTACAATAGACATTCTGGTTTTCTAGCCTTAGACTTATTTTTCTAACCAGTTATTTTTCTAGGGCTTTAGACAAACTGCACATAGCCTTTCTCAGCACACCTGGACTCACATCAAGATGCCACTCCCAGACAGATTTCTTTACTAATAACTGAACTGTGGGGGGAAATCATAGGTTTGTAATCAACAGCATCTCAAATATAAGCCATGGGTAAATATGACAACCTTCTGGAAAGTAAGGCCACAAGCACACAGATGGAGCCCTTGGAATGTGAGGTATTTCCCTCCTAGAAAGGGGAAACAATCTCCTACTCAACCATATCAGTAACAATAAAAAATAAGAAGGAATGTTCAAATGAACGTCCACTTGTTCACCATTTAGCAAAATATAAAATAAAATGCCAGGATCCCAGGGGAACATAACGTCTACACAAATCAGCCAATTCAGCTATGTAAATGCTGACAGGTCACTCTGTGGTCCCAATACCCTTGAAAAGCTCGCTAGGAGGACCTCTACTCACTGAGCCCCACAGCTCTGATACTTCTCATGCCCCTTTCAAAGGTTTGGGATGCATGGGGCTTGAGATGGTGATTGGTTGTTAGTACCTAAGTGCCTGAGCGAGAGTCACTCCTCCTCATTCATTCATTCATAGGCAGACTATCATTTCACCTCTGTCAGGTTCCGTGCATGGCCTAACAGAGTAGAAATGAAGAGAAACAGGCTGCTGGGGTTTATGCAATACATGAATGAATGGGGCAAGGGCTGAATCTGACATGATGTTAACTCAGTTTCTCCCTCACCCTGATCCACATAAC